ATATAAGACACTTAAAATTGAGCTTATCAACTTATGAGCCTATATTGGAGACTTTTCCAATTCACCCAAATTAATTGCAATGTCCCACATAATTAAATATCACATTTAATTATTTAACACATTATCAATTAATCCAACAAAAAATTCGCAACTCAAGTGTTAACTAAGGCTAGTTTAAATTTTCAAAATTCAAAACTCAAGTGATAAATAAATAATTAAAAATATTTTATTAATTAAATATATTAATGTCACAATTATACAATTAATTGCCACATGTACGTACTTATGGGTCAAAACTTATTTATTGGTCACATATTATCAAATTAATTGGTCACAAATAAAAAAAATATATAAGTCACAAATTATTATATGGTCACTGATCAAAAATTTCATTGGTCACAATTTATTTCACGATCACAAATCAACAAATTAATTGATCACATATTATTTCCCGGTCATAAATTATTAAATTAGTTGGTCATAAGTTATTTTCCAATCATAAATCATCGAATTATTTGGTCACAACTCACCAAATTCTCGTCCCGATTCCAAATTTAGACAAAACCGCACATTCTTTTATGTCACAAATTAACCAATGGTCACAACACCCGAATAATGATCCCGCTTTTCCTCCCACCGCCACCATCACTACCACCGCCATTGTCATTTATACCAACATCACCACCACCAAACACTTTGCCACTACCACTCCACAATTCCAAAACCACCACCAAAACAACCACACAACACCCACTACACACCACCGCACCCAACTGAACCACCGAACTTAGCATGCACGTCACCACCGCACACCACTACCACACCCAATCCAACCACCGCACACAACACCATGCCTAACAACAACCGCACCGCACAATATCACATACCTTCACCACCACTATCACTACCACCGCAACCACAAAACCAACACATCATCACCATCACCGCACCACACCACAGAACCACCACCAAACCATCTATCACCAGGCCATCCAAAAATTAAAAAGAAGAAGAAGAATGGATCTGCACCGTGTGTAGCTATGTCAACGAGCCGAGCCGAAAAAAAAAGCTCGAGCTTTTTTTGCCGAGCTTTTTTCGGGCCCGAGCCGAGCCTAGCCAAAAAAATAAGGCTTGGCTTGAGCTTTGACCCGAGCCTTAGCGGGCCGAGCCGGCTTAGTTTTTTATTTATTTTTTATTTTTTTCAGCTATTTTAGCTATAAATTTTTTTTATTTTTTTTAATTAATCACGAGCCGAGCCGAGCCGAGCCTGCCCGGCTCTGGCCCGACCCCCCAAAATGGGGCTCTGGCCAAGCCTAGGCTCGGTTCCACCGAGCCCGATTCGGGCTTTTTTCGGACCAAGCCCTAGCCGTCCGAGCGGGCGAGCTTTTTTGCCACCACTAACCGTGTGTAGCGGCGATGAACTACATCACACGAAGGAAAACCGCCGCCGTCGTTGTGCCGTGATGAGTTAACAGAGTAAGTGCCGTGAGAAGTCGCCAGAGTAGGTTAGTCGAGTGAATGAAGCATGTGGGATGGGTAAAGTTAATGTGGTAAATTAATTTAATTTAATAATATTATTATTCATATTAAAAAATTAAATTATCATCTGATTTTTGAACAAAAAATTTTCAAATCTGATTTTTAAAATGATAATTTAAAAAATCTGATTCCTTGTAATTTCCAAGTTTGCATTTGTGAAGCCTGTTAAAGGTGTGCCCTCTTGCTGCTGCTTTTTTCAAGGGGTGCCTTTTTTTTTGGGGTGATTTAAGTAAACAAAAAATTGATTAAAATTGTGGTGCAATGAGTAAATTTTGTTGTGATAATATAATTACCCAAATGTAGAAGCTGAAAGCATCAAAACTCTAGTGTTAGATGGTACATATTCTTCAGAGATCAGTTTTTCCTTCATAAAAAAAATGAGCAACTTTTAAATTTT